ACATGTTATTTTAGAATGTGTAACTGATCACATGAAAAATTTATTTCTTTATCATAATAGACAGAATAATGATAGTTTATTTTTTATTCAATTTACCAATAAAAACTCATCTTTATGACTAAAAACTGTTGTTTTAAGAAACAGGTTATTTATAGGAGGAAGAGTCTTTAAAGAAGAGCTAATAATTAATGGCTGGTATGTCATTTTATTGGTACATAAGGATCAAATGAACAAGACATGATCTAATGAATGGATAGAACACAAGAACAACGATAAAATAATTGACTATTAGTAGAAGGCAACAAAAGCGACAAATAGATGATAGTTGAAAAAGAAAGCGATGAATAAAATTCGACTGAAGATAGAATATTTGTGTGATTAGATGGAATTTTATAATTGATATTAAGTTACGTCGGAGTATTGTCATTCATAATCTTGTTTCCGATTGAATAGATTGTGTTGATGCAACTAAATTACGTCTTTGTCCATAACGAAACAATTCTTTGATCCATTTGATTAATTTTGGAAGCAAACTTAGATATACCCATGGAAGAAAAAGACATACAACATAGATGAGGTCGAGAAAGAAATCTGTTTGAATTTGGGCAAGAAATGTTGGATAGCCAAGTATTTGTACAAGTCCTACAATGAGACTTGGTCCCCAAGCGATGATATAAAGGTTCGAAATCGCGAGCAATTGCACTGTCATACGTCGATGTTGTCGCCATGTCAATGCCTGTTGAAAACGACGCTTTTGTCGAACTACTCGCATAATTAAGGCTATATTGGCTAATGCATTTACAACCATAGGTAATCCATTGTTGAATGACCAATCAAATGTGCCAAAAGGGTTGTTTAATAATTACGAGGAATTCTCTTTTGACCAATCATCAATGCTACAGATGATATATATATATATGAAAGAGCTCACAATTGACTATGATACATATGATATACTTGAGAATTCAAGTCTTTCAGAGAATTATCACCTTCGATCAGCTCTAAATATCCTCTGACAAGCAACATTTCCAACATTTATTTCACTTCTAAGTCAAGATTATGTGTATCTTATAAAATTTAATGAGATTTGACTAGCCTGAAACTAGTTCATCCTCTGGTGCGTTCCTAGCTAGATATAAAATTTGTACTTTGTGTTTTAGAAAAACATCATGATCACTCTTAAATTCAGTTGGACAATTGATTTTTGAATTTCAACTCGAGAATTTCACAAAAAAAATTAGTCTAATTGAAAGGTTTATTTGTGCAAAGATTCAAGTCAAATTCTGAAAATCAATGTTCGAACTGAATGGCGTTTTGATAAAGTAGACATTAAAAAAATGCAATTAAGAGCTGAGAATATTCCATTGTAAGTTATAGAACCTCGATTTGAATCAGAACAAGTTCTGTTTGTTAACATCCATATTTTCAATCATAAACTTCTCTATTAACATGAAACAAGAGTTTCCAGTTTTCATCGTTGTAACCCAGATATTATTTGAAAGAATTGGTATTATTTCTTATTTTTCGACTTTATCTTATCATTGTGTTCAATCAAGTAAATTCGACGCAGAGCTGATGTGAAGCACTGAGTTTTGAGGAAGAAGGAAGGGAGAAATACGTCATGGTGATCGTTATAAAAACAAATCGTAGGAAAAATTTCTCGAGAATGAGAAGATCATGGCCTACTCGGTTGCGCCAGCTCGGATTCGACTGAATTATAACAGTTTTTAATCTAGCAGGTAATTTTTGTTACAATATGACAAGATAATTAATGAACAATTTCGAGTACTTTGTCAAAAAGAAGATAACAATCACCAAAACCACACAAATTACTAGTATAATCCCACTGCATACCATCACATGGATAAAGAATAATAGCAAAAAAATAAAATATCATAGGAGAAATAAGACAAAGAAGAAGTGGTAGATTATGTAGAACAATACGCATCAGAGGCTGAAACGGGGAGAATTTTTGGTCCCCCGCCTCGCCTCGCACCGAAAAAAACCTTCCTCGCCTCGCCCCTCCCCGATCTTGAAATATTTTTCTCTCCCCGCCCCGCCTCGCCCCGAGTTTAAGGTTATTTCTGTTCGCCCCGCCCCGTGAAAAGCTTTCCCCGCCTCGCCTCGCCCCGAGTCTCAAGTTTTTTTTCTTTGCCTCACCTCGCTCAGGTCTTACTTTTGTTTTTTCGATGCCTAGTCTAGTCTTTGAAAGATATTTTTATTTCTTTATCATATGATTTATTTGACTGCATATTGTGGAACATAATCACAAGAACACATGAGTACAAAAATAAATACATAACCACCAGAGTACAGAAATAAATATATAACACTCTAAGTTAAAATGCGTCGACTTTTTCCGTCGTAAATTATAGTGTCGTGGGTTCCAGCAAGAAAATGTGTCGCACATTTATGTGTCGTATTTTTAACCGTTCTGTACATATATGACGACTGTTCATTCACCGATTTTGTTCTGTCTGTATATCTGTATATAATCGATCTGAACCATCACATGAAAATCATAAGTTTTCGTGCACCATTCTATATAATATGTTTCTCGATTATATATTTCTTGTAAATATTTCGAGAAATAATGACCTCACCTAAATAGAGGTCTACCTGGCAACAGTCCGACCAAGATCTGACTGGTTTACACTGTTGCATCAAACACTGATGCTAATTGCGCTAATTAAATATTGATAGATGTAATGCACGAAAGAAAAAAAAATTATGAATACGGTGAAACCCAGATTCGAACACTAATTTCAGAATGTGTCGGATGTGTCGTGGGATAATGTGTCGTACGCTTGCTGGAGAAAATGTGTCGTAACGAGCACCTCGTGTCGTGCTCGAATGTGTAGTGAAATGTGTTGTGAATCACGACACATCCGACACATTTTAACTTAGAGTGAACCACCAGAGTAACGAAATAAATACATAACTACCAGAGTACAGAAATAAATAAATGACCAATAGAGTACAAAAATAGTCCTACAGTACAAAAAGATCACCAAAGTACAAAAAAATAAATGACCACCAGACTACAAAAGACGTCCTACAGTACAAAAAGAACACCAAAATACAAAAAACATATAGTGTACTCAATCAATCTTTACGTTTGTTGTTCTCTATTGAACGAAGAAACAATATATTGTTAACAATGGCCGGGTCCAAATTAGATCTTCGTTGATTAATGAGTTGCCCAGCTGCTGAAAATTGTCTTTCAACAGCAGCTGAGCTACAAGGTATAGAAAATATACGACGTGCTACACTTGCTAAATGTGGAAAAATATTTTCGTGTTCCTTCCAAAATGACAATGGATTATCATAATCTTTTTCTTCACTAATCTTGAAATCGATATAAAGATCGACTTCATCTCGTGCTATTGTTGTATATTTAGTTTTTGTTATTTCACTATCCATTAGCTGTTCCAGAAATTTTTTTGGTTTTTTTCTTGTTGGTTCATCTTCATCATTAGTTGTTGTCATGCCAGTTGTTTTTGGCATCGATACTCGACAGGCTCGATAGCACTCAGCCCTTTGAGCTGCTGTTGCTGGCATTAGTTGTTTAAATTTTGGATGAAGAAATGATGCAAGAATGTAATCATCTTCCATGATAAACATAGAATTCAACAAAGACAAAGCGCGTTTAGCAAAAATCTTCATACCTATATAACACCCAATACTAATGATAAAGGAAAGAATTAGCATCTTTATATCTTACCACTTTTTCCTTGTCGTTCACGTTTACGTAAATCTTCTTGTAAATAATTTATACGCGGAAATACTACATACAGGGATGGTGCATTGCCTCTCTGTAATTCTTTTAAAACATTTCGCCACGGTTGAAAAAAATCAATTAATTGATTGACTATCACCATATTAATTTTTTCAATACGATGTGATTGTTTGCATTCAAGTAATAATGCTCGTAGTGGTTCATGTGATCGTTTGATACTTTCAAGTAAATCATAAATAGATAACCAACGAATTTGTGAACATTGATGAATTGTTGTAAATGGTGAATGTTGTTGTTGTTCATCATTATCACGTGCTTCATTTAACAATTGTATTTGTCGATTTAAATTAGTCTTTAATGATATAAGTGTCATAGCTATTTAATTGAGATTTTATTGTAGAAAATTCTTACTTTTTTTACGTAAATCTATCGCAGGAAAAATTCGGGATTTATCTTAACCCCGCCCCGATTCGCCCCGTCGTAACTTATCCCCCGCCTCGCCCTGTCATATTTCGCCCCGTCAGAATCTCTCCCCGCCTCGCCCCGAGCAGGCAAAAATTGTCCCCGCCCCGAATCCCCGCCTCGAATCCCCGCCCCGTTTCGGTCTCTGATACGCATCCAAGAGATTCGTAGAACATATCCATGAAAAATGAGCATGTGTCGTTGAACAGAAATTGTTGCCATTAAATATTCACTTGTTACATAGAGAGTAAATTCAAAGAAAGTCCACCATGTACAGAAAGTTGGTGTTGCTGGATTGACATAACTATGATGATAGAAATGAAGTGGCAGTGGTAAAGCAAATGATAATTGAATGAAATTTACCAAAAGTAAGATAAATAAAGCTTGATTGTGTGGAGCACGAAGATCAGTTCGATGTTTAATAAAAAAGGCAAATATGAGAAGTGAGAGTGCAATGGCTGGACTTTGTAATGAAAGTAATACTGCAAATTTCACACGATGAAGTAGAAACTTTTTATCTTCGAATACTCCAATGTCAGTGTCAATCATTCTTATTCCAATGTCAGTGTCATTCATTCTTATTCCAATGTCAGTGTCATTCATTCTTATGATTTTGTAGAACATACAAAATCGATGTTATGTCTTATATAGAAAGAAAATGGAGTAAACATCAAGATTATCGTTTTCTCTTTCTTTTTCTATTCTGTTTTGATGACATTAGATATTATTTTTTTCTATAGATTTTACTATTAAGAACTCACACATGTAGATTTTCTAAGATCATCAGTCAATTATGGAATGCAATCAACCAGAAATCATGGAAGAGAATGTATTAAAAGAAGCTCATCTAATAGGATTGTTAGTGATTGTCCTTTTGGATCAACGCTAAGTTCATTCTTTTTCTTTTAAAAATAACTATGTGTGTGTGTATGTGTACACTTGCACACGATCTTTTATTATATCTGTTTAAATGACGGAAAACGCGTATATATATAGTGAACGAGAGAAAAAAAAGAGAAAAAGGAAAAAAGAGGAAAAAAAGAAAGAGAACAAAGACTAGGGTACAACTGCACAAGAACGACAACGCGGCACCCACATTCTTTGATGTGATCTATCAATTAGATCATTTAATGTAGAGCGTGTCGTTCTTCTGCAGTTGTACCAAGACTAGATATATGGATAACAAAAGAGAATACTAGATATATCACTGAGAAAGAAATGGAAAACGAAATAAAAAATAAAATAAACTAAATGAAAATAGATGGCGGGTTGTATCAGTGTGACATCACTGTAACAAGGATTATAAGAGCATACAGCAAGCTTTTGTCTCTTGTTCTCACTATTAATCAATGTCATTGTTCGCTCTTGCTCGAGTTACCATCAAGTCAAGCATAAATTTTTTTCTTAGTACGATTAAAAATAGACATTATGCAATAGAATCGAGGATGCATCACCCCTTGTTTCCAGTCTACTGTTTGACTTTTCAGACCAGTATCTTTTCAGTTTCACTTCTGTCCAGAAATAATCTTGATTCCATGTATCTAGTAGCTGGCTCTCGATTAAAAGCACATTTCTATACTACATGAATGGAAATAAAATCTGTTAAATGAACTTGAGTATTGATCAAGTATTTCTAAACTACTAAGAATGAATACATGGTAACAGAAAACGTGGATCATAAAGTGACCTAATGCTAATTTCATATTGAATTAAATATTTTTTTTTTAATGATTTATCAGTAAACTGAGTGTTTTTCAATACTATGTCAATTGTTGAATTTTATTTCGGAACTTTTCATCAACAATATTCATCTTATGGGTAGATAGTACGAGTTGTGTCATCATTATTCTTTTTCTTTGCTTGTAAGAATCTTTTTCAAATAAATTAGAAAAATATTACATTGTTGATCTGACTTGAGAATTAATCATTCACTCTTTGATAATGTTACAGACAATTCTTTTTGTACTATTCAATCAAATCAAAATCTACTGACAACTTTTTTTCATAACTTTTGTGATTACAATTCGATTTCATTGAATCAAGAAAGTTCAATACACTATATTATCATAAATCTATTCGATAATCTCGTTGAAGATGAAAATCTGCTTTGACAAGATTAGAATAAAAAACAGATAATAAGATTAAGCTTAAAATTTTCACAAGAGAGATGCATCAGTTTACCTTAGAGCGATCGTGAAGAGTTGAAACTCACTTATCACTCTAGCATCATGATTCAAAGAAACAAAAGAATAATTCAAATAAAGTAAAGACACTGTTTCGTATTCCACGTAAAAGTACAAGTACAAGTACTTTCGTCCGAGCTCTGAAAGCTGATCCAAGTCGACGAATACAATCATCTGTATTTTCACCGTAACTTTATGTCATAAGACACATAAGTGGACCGTATTTTTTTAGTAATCTCTAAACGGTCGTATACGGTTTGTATCATTCGACCTAGGAAGGACTCGTGAATAAAAAATCCATTACGAACAAGAAACGTTATTAACGAGTGCGCCATAATTAATGACATTATTAGTATTTTGCCCCTATTTCTCTTATTATCTTCACTCTTCAACTTTGGCTTTTTTTTTGCAAAAGATTTCGCATTTAATTCTATACAAAATCATATAACTTTAATATCATTTGTTTTGTTGAATCAAGTTTTTTAGATAATGGAGAAGATCCAAGAAACGTCTTAATAGACTTAAACGGTATTCTGCAGATTTTTGAACAATCAAACTTTGGTGTAAAGTGACTTTCAAAGTTATCTCTATTGATCTTTAACATCACTTTGACATCCACGTACAGTTCGGACCGAAGGAGTCATTCAAAAAGTTAAGAAATTCTTATTACCTTTTTCTTTTTGAAAATTGTTCCATATTCAATTTAAGAACTGAACCCATTTGATCTTTTGTGCTTTAGTGGTAGCCAGTTCAACTATCACTTTATAGAATCGTGTACGTAGACGTCCAGAAGGTGTTAAAAGATCGTTAGAATCAGTTTTGGAAATCATCTAGCAGAAGCGTTTGATTGTTCGAAGACCTACAGTACCGTTCAGTGTCTCGAAAGATATTTGTTGGATCTGCTTTTAGAAAAAAAACAAGTTTTTGAAGATCTTTACTTTTCATTATCTAAAAACCTTGATTCAAAAAAAAACAAACGAAATTAAAGTCATATGATTTTGTGGAACTCACGTATATTTTCGAAGAAAATAGTGAATGTAAGTTTTAAATTCGAGTTTTGGTGGCTCTCCCCACCCCCCTCCATTACAGACACTTAGCAACGCATGCCCCATTACAGACCTTAGCAACCAGGGTCAAAGGTTAAAGGTCATTGAGTACATTTTCCTAGCAACGGAGGGCACTAAAAACTGGCTATTTTCCTATGGCCCCTTAGCAACCATATGTGGGAAAACCATACATTATTGGATATGTTTCCATGGCACTGAGTCCCCCTCCCTCCATTACAGGCCGTTAGAAACAAATTAATTAATAATTAATATATTCAATATTTAATATTTAATATTTAAAAAAACTATTTTTTAATATTTTAAGTACAAAATATAATATTGAATATTTACTATTTATTGGTTTATTTCTTTATATTTTATATTTTTAATTTTAATGTGCAATAATATTTAATATTTCGTTATGAAACCATTATTGGGCAGTGACCGACCGTCATTGGCATATCATTAAAAAAATAGAACTTATGTGTTAGAGATGTATATAACAATACAAATAACTTTTTTCAATATCACGATGTTAAATGAATGAAATAATCCAATAGAAAAGTAATTATAAATATCAACAGTTTTATTAAAGAAAATTTCAGAGCGCGTGTACAACTATCGAAATTGTTATAATTCTGATTTATGTATCTATTTGATATATTTTTAATAGCTTATTTTAAAACCTCTGACCATATGTATTAAATTTATAAGACTCAGAGTTTGTGAGTTTCACATTTCGGCCCTCTTGGGGCCGCACTGACAAGTTTTTTACAGAATTAAATGCAGAATCTTTTGAAAATAGTCAAGATAATAAGAGAAACAGAGGCAAAATGCTAATGATACCATTATTTATGGTACATTCGTTACTTCATGATGTTTAGAGACATGGAATTGAAATTTTTGAAAAGAAAAGGCAGAGCTTAACTGCTACCGGATTGTTATAAATTCAAACGAATTTTAATGGATTCCAATGAATTCACTATTGGATTGATTAGAGTTCAACAAGATTTTAACACTACGTAGATCGATTATTTCGTTCTTGAAGAAAGCACCAGGATTTATATAATTAATATAAAACAGTGGATCACAAATAAACTGGGCTAAATATGAATAGGTAGATAGAAACTGAGATTATTGAATAAGACATTCATAGAAGTCGATTTAAGGTTTAAAAAATCTACAGCTATATTGTTATATATCCTTCATAAATAAAATAATTATTTCGTTTTGCAAGATAAATTTTTCCTCATTATAGGTTTCATCGATAATATATTATTATGTATAATCATTCTGATATGTATACATAGATTTTTGATTCTTTTCAAATAAAATCTAAAACAACTTTCTTCTCTATTCTAAATACATTTATTCTGAAATAAATTAACTTTTTATTTCAATAATAATCATGATGATATTTCTGCATGAGAAAAATAATCTTTCAAAAGTTTCGTCATTTTAGATTGATCATAGAGATATAAATGTGCTACTTTGTTTTTTTTTTTGAAAGATTTATAGTCAACATGAAGATAAATACTATGAGTTGATAAATATATTTTGGTATCAACGAGAAATAGTTCAACATAAGGGTATTTTTTCCTAGAAAAATAAAATAAATATCGATCAATAAATGAATCTAAATTGAAATATGGTAAATTATTTTTAATCATTTTTTTTCTCTT